CTTGGAATTAGCATCATTATCAACATCATCGTGGTCATCGCCATCATCGTCATCATCAACATCATCCCGTCAACAGCATTATCGTCGTCATCATCATCATCACCACCACCATCATCATCATCATCAACGCCATTGATGAAAAACATGAGAAAAACATAGATGAGGTTGCTTCACCATAAGGTTTTTTGCAACAGTATCTTTCACGGTAAATAGCCGTTTAATATATTGGCTGCACTATGGCACACCGTGACAACCAACTGTAAACAGCGGGATAATAACAGAGAAAAAAAATCGAGTATCTGTGTGGAAGTAATTGTACTCGCTATTTCAATAGGTTGTTTACGTCATCGCTATGGTAATCTGAACGAAATTAATTCCGGCTGACTAATTTTGAGTGTCTCATCTTCGTCAAAATCAAAGGCTGATGGATCGAGATGGTATAATCAATGAAAATTTACGAGTGTCTCTATAACCTATTGGTTCTAAATGCTCATCTAAATATGGCATGTGGACATTTCTACAGTTTGATGATACCTGTTTTGCCAGATCCGTCGTCAAGTACAGGTTAAACATGGAAGAGAACACACAGAAAACGGGGGGGGGTGAGAACAGATATACAGAGTAAAGAGAAATGAGTAATATCATGAATAAGGTGAGGGGATGAAGAATATCTCTTGTTGGCAGATAATTGTCTGCTTATCCTTCTCTGTTTTTATACTCTTTGAGATTGCAAAGCACTTTAGGCAGCTGAGAAACAACCGTACATGAGAAAAGGGCAATGGCAAAAAAAAGGAATTTTAGAAGAATGGCATGCAAGGGCGTTGACAGGTTTCTCTTGAGAGTGCTGAAAAGAGCACTTCCAAGAAAAGAAATATCTTCATGGATAATTGTAGAGAAGTGCGTCATCAACACTTCATATTTTGATAATAATAATTTCATAATCGTAAGTAAAGTAATCTTATTTTGTAAAAGCTCTTAATTTAAACCCATACCTTTACTATTGTGTATATGAACATCTCACTTAACAAGTACGTTGACATATTTCCCGTTCACCCATATATAATCAACTAATACAGAGGGCAAAATATGACATTTATTTCGTAGTTTGGTTATTTTCGGTTGGGGTTTTCACCTGGTTTGGCAATCATCTATCGGGCTAGATATGGTACACGTTTTTACATGCCTTTCATTAACACATACCCTATTTATAAAGCCATGAGACAAAACGTTTTACCGTTAATACATATAGAACAAAATATTTGAATATATGAAAGGTCGCATGACGACCAAACAAGATATTTCCCATCAAAAGGTAGCCTCATTTCATGGATTTCTAAACACTTTGTGGTGTTTGTTGTCATTACCCTTGATGTCATAACATAACACAGTTCATATATTCTCTTGTATGTTATCATTCCTGTGAGGGGTATAATAAGATGCATAGACTCTTTCAGCTGTATTCCTCTTATAACACAATGGGCAGGTCAAACAGCGTATCTATTACTATATTAATCCCGGCTGGTCGTTTCTTCTGTGGGGCCGGCTTTTACCGGCTTTTATTGTGAGTGAATTGGACCAACACAATACAACACTACACAATAACACAGTGTCATATAGGAATTAGGAAATTGGAGAAAAAACAAAAGTCGGATGCTTTCAAGAGACAGAGAGAGAGAGAGAGAGAGAGCGAAAGATAGATAGAGAGAGCGAGAGAGAGAGAGATAGAAAGAGAGGGTTCACATTCAAGCGGCAAATTAGGAGAAAGGAAAGATACAAAGATATGGGAGCTTCAGTCTGAGAGAAACTCTATATTTTAGGAATAAAGATAAGAGGAGACTTGGCATCAAAATGTGTATGAGGATGAGGAGTCTTGTAAAAGTTAGGCAAGGATATGATTGATACTATAAAATCGAAAAATAGCAACGAAAACAGACGTATTAAAGCCATTCGTTTTGAAATCATCGGAGTAAATCGAGAGAATTAACAGAAAGCCTAAAAAAGCGGGCGCAAAATAAAGTGCTGGCTGCCGGAAAGTAGACGACAAAACTCTTGGTAATGACATCCAATCACATCCGTTATTTTTTCGCGCGTGCGCGCTTGTTTGATTTCGGATTCCTGTTCATTCTAAAGATTTACTCTGGTGCAAGACACAAACCATTAGAACGTCTTTTTCCTTCTAAAAGTTAGGCAGTAGTACAGGTGTTTCATACAAACAGTTTATCAAAAATATTTTTAATCCACGATGGCATCACCTTTGCCCATCTCTCTGAGAAAAAGGTGCTATAGAAGTTTGATTTGCATGAGGGTAATATTTATAAGAAAAGGCAACTGTCATTACTTAGAGTTTCAGCGTTTTGCCATTCTTCAAGACAGATTCATCCTTTGGCACAATAAATTGGCTGAGATTCTACTTTCTACCTTCTTTTTTCTGGATGGGTAAGGGGATGTGCCCCAATTCTGCCGCCCATTCACGATTCAAATCAAAGGGAAATATTATGATAAAGAAAAGAGGGAATGAATCTTATAGCTCACCTTGACAGGTATTTGTGTTATTTTCCCCGAAGCATTAGTTCATAAAATACCCCTTTTCCCGTATCACTTAGCTAATGAGGACAGATGCAAAACGGATGACACTTTGGAAATCGATTCCTCTACCTCTCTCTCTTATCAGACTTTGATAACAGCATCCGAACTACAAAATACAAAATCAAGGTGCACAGTAGCCCTTTTACTATATACATAGATACATATATTCATGCGACAAGAGTGCGTCAAGAATGTAGTATTCAGGGTAATTGACAGTCGATGGTTATTTATCAGTGTCACAATGTCTATAAATTTACATGACAGACGAGAGAAAAGGATGTTAGCCGAACGCAAGAATGCGGGTTACGCTTTTAAGATGCCTGTACTTTGCGCTTCATACAAAACGTCTTTGATAGACATCTACATCTTTTGTTCAACCTTTCAGTTCACCGACCTCTTATTTACGGGGTCTCGAGGCAAGCATGTGAAACATTCTCGCTTTTTGAATTATCCTACCTTCTAGAGGACATTGTCTGTCGACAATAACCTGAAGTGATGAATGTATTGCCCTCTGCAAAAACTCCTCTCAGCTGTCATTTTGTGTTCTAATTTTGTAAAATAGAGCTTAACGTCCTACTGCTGACGTTTTACAATGTATTTCTTTCATCTTTCTTATATCAGAGCGATGTGGTTTAAACAGAACTTGTGTTAACATCTGCATTTGACACGTTATGATTTCTTCTCACTTTCCAACTAAATTAAAAAAGTAACAACTATCTACCGGAGAATATTACTAGAGTATTTCTAACATCAGTAACTTGTGTTATTATTCATATTTTAACCTAACTATATAACCACTCTCTTGACTTCTTGTAATCCCCCCTTATTTTTTCACTATCATAATGCTAAGCGACAAACATGGAAAAGCCATGCTTCTTCTTAACACCGAGATGGATGACGTCTGGACGCTAGAGAGTGATTATGTGGAGAAGAACATGCTTTGTCACAGTCTGTAGTTTTCAAAGTGGCTGAATTCAAACAAGCGAGGGGGGGGGGGGGGAGATGAAGGTGTTAAGCGAGGCAGACTAATGGGTTGATGCAGCCCAGCGAACACTTACAAATTAGACATATTGAGCGCATCCCTCGTGTCACATTGTTCTGTTTCTCCAGGTCTCCTATGGGGGAAGTGGTGAAGACGTTGAAATTCCAATGATGCATACTTGGCGTTCGACGCAACTTCAAGAGCGACGAGCGAGCAACAGGAATGAACACAGGTTAAAAAGAAGAAACAGGGAGACATAGAGAGAGAATCTTCTTTTAAAAACATTTTTAACCACTGACGATGCATCTTTGATTAAATTAAACGGAGCTACATTTAATAAACATAACAAAAGAAAGGAAAATTAAATACAGAGCAAAGAGAGAGGAAGAGAGAGAGAGAGAGAGAGAGAGAAATCCGGGGGTAAAGGGAGGGGTGAGAGGATGTGAAGAGAAAAAAGAGAGAGGGGAGAGAGAAAAAAAGTATTAAGCGTGTTTATGAAATTGTTGAAAATTGCTGAAATAAAACTTTGGCTGTGCGACGGCGCCTTTTTCCTTAACCTTATAGTATGCCAATCATCTGAACAGATTTAACTAACATAATCTTCATCCAAAGTCGCTTAAGCCCCAGTCCCATATAAAGCCGGACCAGCACGGACGAGCACGGACCACTCCGGACCATCCCGGACCATGGTCAGGGGTGATCCGGGATGGTCCGGGATGTTTTGTTCAAAAAATCGCAACCGCCGACCGTCTCCCCGGACCCAACACGGTACCACTACGGACCGCCCCGGACCGTCCGGGCATAGCCCCGGCAGCAGTACAGATCATTCCAGACCCAGCACGGAGCCGCCACGGACCGTCCCGGACCACCCCGGTGCCAACACGGTGCCAACACGGATGACACCGGACCATCCCGGTGCCAACACGGATCATCCCGGAACGTCCCGGACCACCCCGGTGCCAACACGGTGCCAACACGGATGACACCGGACCATCCCGGTGCCAACACGGATCATCCCGGAACGCCCCGGTGCCAACACGGATCGCCCCGGCAGAGCCCCGGATCATCACGGACCGCCCGGGCCATCCCGGACCGCCCGTGGTGGGTATATTTAAGCTGGGTATTTTCATGCATTAAATCATTCTGCTCTGACTTTTCAAGTGACAACAAGTATCTGCAATTTGCTAGAAGAGAAATAAAAAAGATGCCTCCCAGGAAGAAGCTCGCCGTCAAAGTGGTTGCCAAGAAGCCCACAAAAAAGAAGCCAGAGCCAGAACCAATCGAGTCTGACGTGGAAGATGACGTCGAATCTACGAGGTCTGGGTCTCCTACGAGGTCTCCCCAGAGGTCTCAGGCTGATGCACCTAAAAAACGCATGAAGAAGAAGCCACTAGTCCTCAGTGAGGAAAAAGAGTTGGAGATGGCCGAGTAGATGCGTCGCCATGCCTTCCTCTACAGCAAGGGGATGAAGGAGTACAAGGACAGCGGGAAAAAGAATCGTTTGTGGCAGGAGAAGGCGGAGGATCTGGGTGTGGAGTCGGGGGCTTTACTGAAGGTCTGGTACGAGAGCGTACGTACCAAGGTTGGGAAGATATCCGACAAGAAGAGCGGCTCGGCCCACAAAGATTTGACAGAGAGGGACACCTTCTTGATGTCGAACTTCGGCTTCCTGGCGACTCACATTTCGCGCATGAAGGGAACCACGGCATTCAGTGTAAGTACAAATTGTTATTGCTCTGCTCTGCTGATTTCATGTTCAACCGTATAATATATACAATGTGCTGTCATAAATGTACTAATATATTTATGTCATTCTTACCTTTGTATCTGCAGTTGAAGAGTCAGCTCGCCTCCGCTTCCTCGGTGTCTGGCAGACGATCCAGCTCCTCCGAGTCTGAGATGGACGTCGAGCTGGATGACCTCGAACCCGCTGAGCCGATTCAGACGCCTCCCATCGACTCTTCGCAGCCTTCTTCGCAGCATTCCCAGACCAAGGGGAAGACGAACGTCCTTGGGGGCAGGAAACTCTCTGCCAAGTCCTCAGCCAAGTCCTCCACCCGCATCCAGCGTCCAGTGGAACCCGACGCAGAGGCCATCGAACTTGTCAGCACCATGCAGAGCCAACATGAGCGAGCCAACGCGATTCAGAGCCAGATCTCAGGTCTTCTGGAGCGCGAACAGACGTCTGCCACAGCTGCCTGGGGTTCGTGGATCGGTGCCATGGCAGCTGATATTGACCCACGCCTACTCCCGAGATTCTACCGCCATAGTCTGGACCTGGTCCTGGGGTTCGTCGATGAGTCCAAGCAGCTTCCACCCCTTTCGGTTCCTATCGCGCAGCAGGAGCAGCAGCGGCCTCTTCCGTTCGTGGTGCCGATGCCTATCCCGCCGCCGCCCTTAAGCATGCAGCAGGACCAGCAGGGGACGTACAGCGCCACGATACCTCCCTTGTCGTACCATGGGGGACGTCAGGGACATCAGGGACAGCAGAACCAGCAGCAGAACCAGGGTCAACAGACGTGGTTCCACCCCATAACAGAGAGACCAAGCGCGAGCAGCTCCTGGGACACCATGGGACCTACAGCTGGGCAGAACATATCACATGCAACTCAACCCCAACGACCAGCGAGCACGCCAATGAACATCAGTAGCAGCTTGCTGCCAAATGTAAGTGACATAACATTTGGTTCACCTTTTCCTACTACAACTCCTGTTCCTGTTGTTCGTCAACATAATGAATCCGACCTGCAGAGCACGGAACTGTCAACACTGTGAACAGTGATGAACACTATTGAACTCTGATCCTTATTATATTTTTTCATCTTGTGATTATGTTTGTATTGAAATTTTGAATAATATGTGATTTTCAATATATAAAACGTTTTATTCAAATGAAAACAGTTGTTGTGTTTATCATTTTAAGGTAAAAAGATAAAAGTTAACCAGAAATGTTACAGAAACCAAATGGTTTGTATTGAAATTTTTAATAGATAACAAGTTTTATTCAAATGAAAACAGTTGTTGTGTTGATCATTTTGAGGTAAAAAGATACAAGTTAACCAGAATTGTTACAGAAACCAAATGGTTTGTATTGAATTTTTTAATAGATAACATGCTTTATTCATATGAAAACAGTTGTTGTGTTGATCATTTTAAGGTAAAAAAGATACAAGTTAACCAGAAAAGTTACAAAAACCAAATGGTTTGTATTGAAATTTTGAATAGATAACATGTTTTATTCAAATGAAAACAGTTGTTGTGTTGATCATTTTAAGGTAAAAAGATACAAGTTAACCAAAAAAGTTACAGAAACCAAATGGTTTGTATTGAAATTTTTAATAGATAACAAGTTTTATTCAAATGAAAACAGTTGTTGTGTTGATCATTTTAAGGTAAAAAGATACAAGTTACCAAAAAAGTAAAAAAACAAAAATGATTTGTATTGAAATTTTGAATAAATATCATGTTTTATTCAAATGAAAACAGTTGTTGTGTTGATCATTTTAAGGTAAAAAGATACAAGTTACCAAAAAAGTAAAAAAACAAAAATGATTTGTATTGAAATTTTGAATAAATATCATGTTTTATTCAAATGAAAACAGTTGTTGTGTTGATCATTTTAAGGTAAAAAGATACAAGTTAACAAATGTTTTATAACAAGTTGAAAATTCACATGAACAGTAATAAACAGTAAAACCTTCACTGAAACCTTTCATATTTTTATCAGAGCATTAACTTATTATGTTCATAGTAAAAGTTAAAGTTTTTTGTGGAGATAATATTGTTAACTTTTTTTTAGCTGCGCTATGCCAAAAGGCAGCGGAGCTTTTGAAATGCTGAGTTGTCCTTCGTCCGTCGTCGTCAACTTTTGGTATCTTAAATATTATCTTTAAAGTTTACGGTCGAATCTTTTTGGAATTTTGCTGTAAAATACAAAAAAATAATTCAAGAGGCCCCAATTTTTTGTGTGTGGATTATCGCATTTTTCACAAAATGGCGGCCGTTTCCGTCGAAAAAAGCGTGTTTTCGGACTTGGAACGTCATTTTCTCATAAACTTGTCAGAGAGTTTTGAGAATTTGTTTGCAAAATATGCTTTGGTCGTTGGTGCTGCCTATTAGTATGTGTGCTCAATTTTAAGGTAACAACACATTTTATTGTATTACAATAATAAAGATATCATCATTTTATCAAACATATTACATACTACATGAACATAAATATAAAAAATGCCTACTGTTCATGTTTCATTTTCAGTTCAGACTCAGAGTTCACTGTTATGTTTAAATCATGTCATTTTGCCACGGCACTGAGCCCACTTCCGAGTTGTAGTAAGCACGGAAATATTCCCTCTGTTTCTTTGCGGCGTTTGTGGTGGAGTTGCGTCCAAGGTCTGATATCCCGTCCAAGAGAGGGTTGTCCTTGCGCCACTCTCCTGGGATGATGTTGTGATTGGCGTCCTCTTGATCCGCGACGGTCGTGTGCTCCTTCCTCTTCCGAAGTCTCAGAAGGTTATGTAAACAGATGCACGACAGCACAATGGACGTCACTGTGTTCGGGTCCTGTTGCATCGTGGTCAGTAGACAGCGGAAGCGATGTGCTAGAATGCCGAAAGCGTTTTCGACAATCCGACGACCCCTCGACAGCCTGTAGTTGAAGATTCTCTCTGAATTATCCATGTTCCTCTTCGAGAAGGGTTTCATTAGCCAGGTCCTTAAGGCGAAGGCGTCGTCTGCAGCAATGAAGTAAGGCATCGGTTGGTCATCATGTGGTAGCGGCTCAGGGGGAGGTATTCCGATGACTCCCTTCTCGATGGCTTCTTTCAGTTCGCTGTTGTTGAACACTTGGGCATCTCCCGCGGAACCATTGCTGCCTACTTCAACCCACGAGAACTTGTAGTCACCGTCCACCAGGGCCATAAGGATAATAGAATGGAACCCTTTGTAATTGTAGTACATTGATCCACCCCCACTAGGGCACTTCATAGCAATATGTTTGCCATCCAGGGCACCGAGACAATTGTGCAACTGCCATCGGTTAGAGAAGTGTTCGGCTATCTTCTTCCATTCGTTTGGGGTCGTAGGGCAGGGGATGAGCTCCTCGGAAAATTCAGCAACGATGGCTGCGCAGACCTGACGTATGACCTTCGAGATTGTGTTGTGTGCCACCCTGAAGCCGTACATCAGGGAGTGGTAGCTGTCGCCTGAGGCTAGGTAACGTAGGGTCATTGCCAACTTTATGCCAGGTGATAGAGGCTTTCTGTACCTGAGGCCTTCGGGTTGGTGATTCTGCCCTCTATGCGTCTCAGGATTTCTTGGTACAGGTCGTAGTCCATCCGAAGGAAGTTTCGGAAGCCCTTCGTATCTTCTTCCTTCAGTTCATTCATCAGACGTGCGTACTGGCCCAGGTTCGGTCTTCTCTGCAGCCATTTTCGGACCCAGATGCTTCTCTTCTTCTTTTTAATTACTCTTTTGGCAGTCTCACGCCATTTTGTTCTTCTCTGTCTCTCTTGTAGTTTGGCTTTGGCCATTAAAATAGTGTTCTCTGTTTGCTGTTGGTTAATTTGAAGCTGCCAGCTCATCAGTCGAAGTCGGTTCAGGCGGGTGTTCGGCAGCTCAGACATGTTGACCGGTCTAAAGTCGGAGAGAGATGTGAAATGATCTGAAAATTTTCCCTTTTTATATCGTTTTCTATCCATGTCCGGCACATACTGTGGTCGTCCGTGCTCATCCGTGGTGATCCGTACTGCCACCGTGTTGTCACCGGCGTGGTCCGGGATGGTCCGTGCTGGTCCGTGTTGATCCGTGTTGACACCGGGGTGGTCCGTGTTGGCACCGTGGTGGCCTGTACACGTCCGGGCTCGTCCGGGGTGATCCGTGTCGCCACCGTGCTGGGTCCGGGATCATCCGTAGGGGCGCCGGGGTGATCCGGGGTCAATAACTCACTCCCGGACTGCCACGGATCAACACGGACCGCCCCGGCGCCACTACGGATGACCCCGGACCCAGCACGGTGGCTACACGGATCACCCCGGATCAAACTATTGTCCCGGACCGTCCCGGACCACCCCGGCAGTTTTTGACCGTCAAAAACATCCGGGGTCGACTCCCGGACCGCCCCGGACCATCCAGGACCATCCAGGATCATCCAGGACCATCCAGGACCACCCCGGTGCCAACACGGTGTCAACACGGACCGACTCCCGGATCACCCCGGATGGGGTCCGGGATGGTCCGGGACGGTCCGGGACGTATATGGGACTGTAGCTTTAGGGGGACAGATTTGACTTGTCACTGTGGGAGTATAATCCTAAGGTCATTTCGATTAGATTTTAACTAATCATCCGCAACAAATCTCATAGTCTTTCAATATTTGTAAACACAAATTACTTTGATTTCATGATAAAATGCAAAGGTCACCTTGCCGTGAAGGTTCAAAAAAAGGTCTAATCCAATATCACTTTTCGATTAACTTTTTCAATGTTTTAGTGCACAGCAAGAGCCTTGTCTGATCTGTTATGATGTGAGTGATCGTCGTTGCATAATTATGAAGGACCAAGACCTACACGGAAAGTTCGAAATTCCTGCACCTTAAAGCGTTTTACTCTCTAGGACTTCCCAAAAGACCGACAGAACATAAACATTCTGATAACCCCTCAGAGAGGTGGGCGAAGCACGTTTTTAAAAACTTTTTTATGAAATGAATAAAATACATTATTAGATATTTGGGAGGAAGGAATTATTAAGAGGATATCATGTTCACGATTGTGTTGGCGTGCGTGCGTGTGTATGCGCGGTTGGGTGTGTGTAGGTTTGCGTGGGTGTGTATCCACGTTTGGATAGTGTGTAGGAGTGAGAAAGGGAAATAATGCTTAGTTCAATTGTAGGTCGGATGGGGAAGTCCAAGTTTTTGTTATAGGGGATTCGGCGATGGAATGCATAGTATGACTAATCCTAGCACAGACCGACCCTAATGTAAATCAATGATCAATCTATGTCAAATGTTCCCCATCGACTAATCCAATTATAACGGCAATACGATACAATCCATTCTAATATATCTACAATATCCTTCTTATCCGTCAAACCTAAGTGGGCTCTAAACTGGAATGAGTTTGATTGATTGGTAATCAACCTCATGTTGATTAGAAGTCTTGCATACAAGTCATGTTAATGTATTAGGTCCGGTAGCAATTTTGATGATAGGAAATGATTATGATTATATGTATGTTTCAGCACGGCACTCTCTCCCCTCTTCTCTCATCTACAATATAATGTTAAAGGGGCATCTTTAAACACAATATCAGTAACTTATCCGTAATACAAGCATGTTTAGCATGTCCGTTAAAATTTTGTTTACATTATGTATCAAATATTCCATTATGAATAATTTGAAATCTTATCCCTCACTGTTAATAATAAACCATGACCTGGACTTTTTCTCTTTTCTACTTTTACAAACTTTTTGGTAATATCCATACAATTATATGTACTTTTACTTCCTTCGTCGAAAATCATGATTGTTAATAAAATGATATTGAAACAAACTACAGGGCTGTGATTTGATGTTATGGGTTATCACCATTTCCTACTCTTAACTAAGATTTATGCAATTCAAAGTCCAGTGTATTGCTTTTGAAAATCACGAATGTATTTACAATCGGAGAGGTCTTTGGCTAAACTTCAACGAAAACACATGAAAGAGGACTATACGTCTTTTATAGCGGCACACACATGCTCGATTGAGAAATTGACTCAATTGCTCATGAACTTCTTAGGCATTATTTACGTTTCCCCGTAATATGACTCCAAAAGATATTAAATGCTCTGCTGATAATAAGAACCTAGGCTCATTTTGTAGTCCTTGAAATCCTCTTACATACAAGTCAAGTAGTCTTATCTACGATGAGAAAGGGTATAGGGGTCAGATTTCGCTCAGTAAGTAATGTCAGATAATTCAACGGAGATATTGGAAAATAAATCCGTGATTCTAGGATATCCGATCAACCATGCCCAAGGAAAATGATAGTTATCTTGGGATAACTGATTATGTGAAAATTATTCCTGATAATTACCTCTGGCAACTCATCAATTATATTCGGTCCACTTCCCCAACCCCACCCCTTGGTGTCTTTCTTCAAATGGGATATTTTGTTATAGGGGTAGTTGTTCTGGGTGACTTTGTGCAGCATTTAATTTGAGAAACATTGAATTTAGCATCCCCCCCCCCCACCGCCCCCAACCCCAAACAAAAAAACAAAACAAAAAACCCAAAAAGTCGAAAGGCATCATCATTTGTAGATTCTATCTTGTAAAACATTGAATGTTGACATCGAGAGCCGTGGGCGCTTCCACGAAGAACTAAAACAAAAAGGGGAGAAAAACAATTTTGAATGGGTATAGGCAACGTACTCTGAGGGATAAAGTACAGGCCCTCTCTCTGCTCATCCGACAAATATTGAGACATCCGTTGCTCAGGGCCCCATGGAAGATATTTGTCTGTTTGCGCTCATCCTCGCCAACTCCCACGGCAGCGCCGCTCACTGCGATTCCATGTTTCCCCCGGTGTACGTCAGGCCGACAATCTTTTAAGTGCACCGAATAGATGAAAGATAAAGGACGGGGTGGTCGGCAAAAGATAGAAGAAGTGAAAATAGTCTTCCTTTGAGTAGGGTGGAACACATCTGGTGTTCTTCACTGCTCATTTATTTGAAGAAATCAGAATGGAGGGGGGGGGGGCGGTAATAATGTTGGTTTAACAGTGCACATTAAAATGTTCCAATCGTACAGTGAGAAAGAGAAAGAAAGTGTGTGTGTTTGTGCGTGTGTACAAGCGTGTGCGCGGGTGCGTTTGTGTAGATTGGAGAATTCTGATAAAATCCTTGTATCATCATGTTGATCATTGTATTACTGTGCTATGTTGTACGAACATTACTAACAATACCCCGACGAATGATTGGATCGGAAAGCTCTTCTCTACTTCATAGAGTCTGTTGATAATGAATTGTATCTTACATCTGTTATCTTGCCTACTACTTTAATGCTCTAAAGCCAAATACAATAATAATTTGACGTTATGGCTTCGGTTGAATGGCACTTGTCAGAGTTCTTTGGTTACGAAGTTACGTAAAAGGTTCACTTCCATTGAAGGCGCTGTTAAATCGGGTCTGTAACCAAGTCTAAATGAACCGGGAAATGTTTTAAGCGTATTCAATTTTAAGCTATTAAAACGAATTACAAAAAAAAACAATCAAATAATAAGTTTGGTTTATATTATATATGATTATAAAGCGAATAAGGAATAAATTGAAACACGACCCCAATGAAACGTACTTGCATTGGATTGTCATCAGTATCTGTTTAATGTGCGGGAGACCGATGGTCCACAACTAAAAGCGAGACATTCCGTCTCTGAACCTGTAATTTCTGGTCCACTGAAATGTATTGCTCGTTGTAATAAGCATTACTAGGACCTTCGGTTTGTGGGCCTATGGTTTTGTAGACATTTGTCTTCAAGAACCCACAACCTTCTTCTCCGGCCTTGTTGATATTCGGCTACTTTAACTCTCGAACTTAATGCCATTAGTGAAGTTCCTCTTATGACCCACCCCCTTGAGCCCGCAAGTGAAACAAAAAGTCTATGCCGATTTAATAGGAAAAGTGAGGCATTAAACTCATATAAAAATGGATGCGACATAAATCAATCAATGACAATTACGAAGGGGATACCTATAACATTATCGAAAAGACATGAAGCGGAATGGATGCCTCCTTTGAAACGTGAATTTCAAATTTACTTTGATTATACAATCTATAATAATGGGAGATCCAGCTATGCCATATTTAAGGATATCAGCTGTGTGTTTTCAAACCATAGTGTTGTGTCAAGACCATCTGAAAAGTTTACACCAAAACGCTTGATTAGTTTGCGAAGGTACTGAATCTCATTGCTTTTGAAATAAACATGTAGAACTAATTTCATGAATAAACCCCAAGGTCTATCCAATCTATTGGCTGGTACTGCAGAGTAGTGGCATTTCATCAATGTCACGTTCCTTTGTAATCATCTGTATTAGATGTCGATGTTTCACTGTATTTCCATAACCTGTGTATTAACAATCGCGTTCTTTTACCGTCACGTATATATTCACATCCTGGCCAATGTTACAGAAAGGTAAATGTTTGATGAAAGGTGGCAAAACTTAGAATCCACAATGAAGTCAATTTGT